AAAGAAAGAAAGAAACTACAGGGACAGATGCCAGTCGTCTGCCAGGTAGGGCAGGTCTGAGTTAGTAATACCCGGTAAACAAAGGCAGAAGAAATTGTACTTGGCGGTGTAAGAAATAAGAAACTGTTGGGGTGGGCGTTTAGCCTGGCAGTTCAGATGCTGTGTCTCATATTCAAGAGTCTGGATTTGAGTCCTGGCTCCAGCTTGCAATTCCAGCTTCCTGCTCATGCAGGCCCTGGAAGGCAGCAGGTGATGGCCCAGGTAATTGGGTTCCTGTCACTCAAGCTCAAGTGGGAGACCTGGATGGAGTTCCTGGCTTCCAGCTTTGTCCTGGCCCAGCCTGAGCTGCTGTGAGCATTTGGGGCGTGAACTGGCAGATGGGAGCTCTGTCTCTCAAATAATTATAATAATGTAAAGACCTAGGAAACTGTTCTTTGCATAGAGGAATGAATGGTTTGTAGGAAGAATCAGGTGGAGGGTGGAGGGGACTCACAGGGAGGTAGGCCACCTGGGAGGCTCTGATGGTGGTCCAGGCATGAGTGAGGGTCATGTGTTGAGCAGATGTCAAGAGAGGATCACATGTACATACATAGATGGGGACACACCAGGGTGGGGGCAGGGAGAAAACTCTGGGGAAGGCTAGGGGAGCCAATCGGGCCTCAATACAAGTGTGATACTGAGAGGAGAGGGTGAGAGGGGAAGAAGTGTTGCAGAGGGTTTTAGACTGCAGTGCCTTCTGAGAAAATCCTGCAAGGGCCCTGGGTTCTTCAAGCCAGAGCCACTGCCACTGGCTAGAGGAGCCCCATCTCCTCCAGGAAGGGGTATCTTAGTCTCCCTGCTGCACCTGTGCGAAGTGATGCCCTGACAAACGTGAGCCCTGCGTTGGGTCTGCTCCCTGCTCCAGCGGAGCTCATGGCCGGCCCAGTGGCTGAGTGGCTGAGACATGGGAAGGCCACTGCCTTATCTCAGGGCTGTTGGTTGCAGAAGCCAAACGGGGACCTGGATGGGCTTCACCAGGGGCAGGCTGTCCTCAAGAAGAGCCGAACGTGCAGGGTGAGTGGGTGGGGTGGGGCTCCGAGAGAGGTGCTCTCCATCGCTCCCCTCTGCTCTTCCTGGCCTGGCTTCCTCTGGAGGGGAGCGACACGGCCAAGGCATTCCCAGGAATCAGTCTCTGGGGGAAGCAGAGTGACCCCCTCTGCTTCCCTATGAGGAACAAGGAGTCGTTTCTGTGAGGGCTCCCAGCAGACCACCTGCCTGGCAAGGGGTGTGGAACCAGTGCCACTGGCTAGGTGCCCGAGAGCCACCTGGCGAGCTTTGGAACATTCTGGACCCCACCTCAGAGCCTCTCTGTTAGTTGGTGGCTTTATACCCTCCCCAGGTGTTGTCAGTGTACAGCTGGGGTTAAGAGCCACTGCCAACTTGGAAGTCAGCAGCCATGCCCACTGCAGCTGCGCACTAGCTCGGGGCAGTTGGGACAGGTCTCTGGACCACCTGGAGCCCGGTCTCCCCATCTGCAGCCCTGGGGGCTGCCGGTGCTGCCTCCTGCAGTTGCTGGGGATGCCTGGAGAGCTCGCAGGTGTTTGCAGGCTTTGCGGACTGAACCACCAGGCACTGACACCCACGGGCTCTTGCTCATGGTCCTCATTCAATTTGGAGGGAAAAGGTGCTAGGAACAGCCAGGCTGGAGCTTTCTCTTGAGCACAGTTTCCTGTCATTAAAACAGAATCCGAAAGAGGGAAAACGACAGACTGGGAAGCCACAGGCAATGGCACTGCCGCTCCTGTCTTCTTGGAAGGCGTGGGTTTGAAGCGCAGCTATAAATGGTTTATGCGAAACAAGCTGGAGGCACTCATCCCCCTGCTGTTTTAATCCAGGAGAGGATGGGAGGGGACCAGGTGCAGGCTTCCCAACGTCTCCTCCTTGCGGGCCTGGGTGGGTAGTGGGGGCGGCTGGGTGCTCTTGGGCTGCCTGGGGGAAGATGGTCAGATATGGCCTGCACCCTGGCTCCCGTGTTCCAGGGCACACCTGGCTGCCCAGCTTCTTGGCCTTTTCTGTCTGAGAAAGCTCTGGTAGGTGCTGCCCGTGGTGCCAAGGGAACGAGGCGGGGCAGCTCTGGGGCTGTGAGGTCATGGGCCTGCCAGGGACTCTCTCCCCTTTGAATCCCACTGGACCCACAGGGACCCGGGGCCTCATGGCTGGGAGGGTGACCTCAGGGCTGAGGCCTGGAGAGGAGCAGATATGGGCACAGTAGAGCTGCTGGCCCCAGCCTGTCTTGTCCCCGCCTCCTCGCCTGCCTGCCTGCCTTCACACCAGACAGCGTCCACCAGGGTAGGTGCTGGGGATGCAGAGGTCTGTCCTCGGGTAGCTCCCAGCATGGGAAGGGGCTCTTGCCACTGCTGCAGGGCTGGGGCAGCACAAGGGGCTGGGCATGGTGTGGAAGGAAGAGGCAGGCGTCTCTTCTGCCCTGCAGTGTGGGTGATCGCAGACGAAAGACCCCTCTGAGCTGAGGAATGAAGGTCAAGTCGGAGTTTTTGAGTGACCAGTGAGGGCGGGAGGGCATTCCAGGTAGAGTGACAGTGTTCAGAGCCATGGACACATGAGCTGTGGCCATCGTCCAGGGCACATAGTTCCTGTGCATGAGGTGGGGGGGAAGTCATGGGAGGGGAAGCCAGACATGTGGGTTGGGACCCCACACACCTTGAATGCTCCCTGCAGGTATGTGGGAGTCACTGAGCTGGGCAGTGCCCCAGCCGCATTGATCAGGCAGGAAGGTTGGTTCAGAACAGGAGCAGGTGGGGTAAAACTGCAACCATGCCGTCAGCCCCAGCCTCTGCTCTTCCCTCCGTCCCTGGTCCTCTGAAGAGGGGATGGAGGTGGGGGGGTTATCCAAATCAGGATGGTGCTGGTGGGCGGAGCCATAGCAGAAGCTGGGGGATGGGAGGAGGGCGGGCTTGAGAGGGACACAGTGACCACTTAGATGAGGACATCAGGTTGACACCAGACTCTTGCCTGGGCCGTAGAAGCCAAAGGGTGATGCAGGCTGGGGAACCCTGGTGCGTTGGCTAAGGTCTGGAGGAGGGCGGAGAGACAGTGGGAGAGGGCGGAGGTGAGTGGGGGCTGCTGCTCTGGGCCTTCCGGGCTTCTCCAGGGCGGCCCCGAGTTCTCCTCGGGGAACTCTGGTTCTAGGCTACAGAGGAATGAGTCCAGTGCCCCCATTTTCCAGATGTGAAAAGTGCAGCCCTGAGAAGGACCCCACTCGCCCAAGGTCACAGGGTGGGTTCTGACAGGCAGTGTGTGGCCGGGAAAGTGGACCCCAGAGTCTCACAACATGGTTCTCCTCTTTGACAGGGAAGTGGGTTTAGCCAAGCAGGTTTGAGGCTGTGAGGGGAGGGGCGTTTGTTTTAGACAGGGAGGGGTCCTGTTTGCCTCTGGGTGGGGCTCAAAGCAGGAGCTGCCTTAGCCAATACCCTGGAGCCCTCCCTCCACCAGGGACCAGGAGGAGGCTTGGAGGCCATAAAAGGGGCCCCTGCCAGACCCTCCCACCCCTTCTCTGAATTTTGCTGCTGCCTCAGGGCTTGCAGGGAACCCAGGGGTCCTGGATCCTAGGGAGGACTTTGTCATTAGACTGGGGTGCTAGGGCCTTGACCCCAGCCCCAGAGCTGGAGGGGGTGGGGCGAGGCTTCTTGTATGGGGCAGGAGCCTGGGCTGTTGCTGGGGTGAGTAGGGAGGGGAGTAGGGGAAGGGGCAGGTTGGGAGCTAGGGCAGCCTCCCCGGGGACCAGCTCCAGGGAAGAAAATGGTTCCTGTCGCTGCTTTCCCCAGGACCACTGTCCTGCCTGCTGCCTTCACCTGCCACAGTGAGCTCTGGCTCCAAAGAGAAGGTGGCCAGCACACAGCTGGCCACACGTGCCTGGTCCAGGCCACTGGTGGCTAGGAGGCTGCTGTGGGGCTGTGAAAGGTGAGACTGTCTGGGGTTCCGATCAGGGCTCCGGTTGGGGATGGAGTAGCAGGGAGCAGGGTTTCCTGGTGGGCTCGATGGGGACACAGCCAGCGAGCAGCCTCTCTCTGCTCCCGGTGCCCCTGTGCTGGGGCCTGCCTTTGGCTCTGCAGCTAGTGTGGCTGGTGTCTTCTGTGCCCCTGGGGGTGGACACAGAGCTGGCACATTTCAGAGGCTGGGTCCCAGGTGGCCTGTCACTTTGCTGTGTGAGCACAGAAGCCCCCGTTTCAGAGCCAAGCCAAGCCCCCTCAGTGTCTTCACACAGTGTGTTTGGGTTTATGTGAGAGAGTTGTTGCCCCTGCATCAGCTCCCTTTCCCCCTTGGACACGTGCGTGGTGCTGAAGCTCAGAGGCCCTTTTGCCACCAGAGTGCGAATGGACCCAGAGCCTGGCTTGGGCAAGGACTGTAGGTGGGGAGCTTGGATGCGTAGCAGGGACCCTGGTAGGACAGCACAGTGAGTGCAGGCACTCACAGCCAGAGTTCAGAGCTGGTTACTGTGGGCATCAGCAGACTTGACCGTGTGCCCCGGCTGCCCCTGGTGCCCTCCCGTCGACGCTGTTTGCTCAACCCCAGGGGCAGCAGTGGCCAAAGCCCTGGAGCCTGTAGCCTGCAGCCTGGCTTCTGGTCCAGCCCTGGCCCTGCCCTGCATTGGCAGGTTCATCAGCACCTTCTTGAGCTTCCAGTTTTTTCCTTCCTTCAAAGGGGTGGGCATCTGGCCTGCAGTACCTGATAGGGTACTTTGGCAAGGCCAGTACAGTATTTTGTAGCCTTTCAGAGCTGGGTCATTCTGAGAGGCCACGTGGCAGATGTCTGGGGGTATGGGATTAGCTGAGTATTAGCCAGGTGACCTGGACCAGTATTCTGTGTCTCCAAGGAGGTGCGGAGTTTCTGGGGATGCCCTCCCACTCTGGGGGCCCAAAGCAGCTGTTTCAAGATGCTTGTGGCAGACCTGTCTCAGTTGACCTGGGCGCTTCTTTGTCTTAACCCCTCCTTGACTTTTACAGGAGGAAGAGGTGCTGGGGTCCCTACTGATGGGGTTGAGGTCCTTCCTGGGAGCCAAGTTGGTGAGCACTGTGGACTGGGGAGACAGTGAGGACCCACACAGGGAGTGGGGGTGCTATAAAGATCTGCAGGGCAGAAGGCCCAGGCAGCTGGTAGAGCTCTGGGCTGACTGACTCAGACCCAGGCCCAGTTTGGCCATTTCCCTGCTTCCTCCTGGGTCAGGCGGGGAAGCAGCAGCCCCGTCATACACACACATAGCCCCTCCTCCCATTCCACGCTGTCCTGAGGACAGCTCACTGCGTCCTGCAACAGCCCGGGGAGGAAGACTGTTTTCATGAACCCTGTGTTTGAGAAGAGGAAACAGACACCCAGGTGGTAATTGGGCTGAGATTTGAACCCTGGCAGCCTCACTCCAGAGTCTGCTTCCAGCCGTGCTGTGAAGCCCCCAGTGTAGACAACACTCTAAATGGCACAGTGACAGGTGGTTGGTGTTGTCAAACCATAGGGATCTGTTTGCCAGTGGACCTTCCGGGAGTGCTCCCACCCAAGGCCTGGGCCCCGTGGGGTGGTCCTGCACTGTCAGTCCATCTACCAGTGATGCTCAGTGTTTCAGCCCAAAGGTTGGAACGGGAGACTCCACAGATGGCCGGGGCCAGGGCCCAGGAGCAGGCATGAAAATCTGCATCAGCCTGTCCAGTGCTCTGCCTTCCCCTGTGAGCCAGCTCTGCGTGGGAGGCAGGAAGCGGACTCCTCGGGAGGGGCAGGGTGGGCTGCAGAGGCCCAGGGGGGTGTCCCTCCCAGCCTTGGGGTGGCTTCAGCTGGCTGGGGGCCTGGCGCTGGAAACGGTGGGCATTGGGAGTTCTGGCTGAGCCATGGGCCTGAAGGTGCGAGTGGGCATGCACGCCATTTGCATGTGTGTTCCTGGTGGGGGAGGGGTGTCTGCCCAAAGAAGAGGATTTAGCCTCCTGCCATCAGCGGCCAGCTTTTCTCATGATCCAGGCAGGCCCAGGAGGGATCAGTCGATTCGTTTTCATATCTCTGACAGGTGAGGCTCACGTCTTGCTGCAGCACATGGGTCTCCCCATCTCTCTGCCTCTCTCCCCCCATAAGTGTCGCATTGACCTTCCTCCCTTCCCCAGCCAGGTTATACTGAGGGAGCAGATCTTAGGAAAGCAGACCCTGGTCGTTCGTCACTGTCTCTGGCACAAGGGTTCACTTCAAGTTTAAGATTCCTTCTCCTGCTCTAAGGCAGGATGCCTACCAGGTGACAAGGGGCCATGTTTAATCCCCTTCCTTAGGAGAACTGGGCTCCCTGTGCCATGTATTTGCATATACAGCATGCATGCAAAAACACATGGGCAACTTAGAGTGGTGCCTGGGGCAGGCTCAGTGCTTGTTAAAGCAGGTCCTCCATGTCTCCTCCTCCGAGTAGCTTAGATCCTCAGTGCCACAGTCATTTCCTGCACCCGGAGTCATTGCTCTCCAGCTTCTGCTTGGGCTCCTGAATCCTCTGGGCCTCCGAGCAGTTGCCTGGCCGCGTTCAGCCCTCCCGCCCGCCTGTGTTGTGTTATCACCATGTTCCAGGAGAGGTGGCCGAGGCCCCGATAGCTCAGCGGATTGCCTGGTCACATGGCCATAGCACTGACCTGTCTGACCTCTAGACCAGAGCTCCCAACAGCCCCTGGGGTGCGGGGGGTGGGGGAAGGCAGATCCATCCACCCTTCCTGGCAGGTGACAGAGATCTTATCACAGGCAAATGTTTGCTTCCAGCTGGGGGCTCTATGGGTGTGGGCTGGCACACTCTGTCTTGCGAATAGAAGCCTGCGTTCTTCCTTGTGCGCTTCTCTCTGCTTGGCATGGACAGGGACCCCTCTGTCTAGTCCAGGCTGGCCAGGCTGGCCCTGAAGCCCAGAACTGGGGAGCAGGAGCAGGTGTGTTTGTGTTTCCGGAGGGTCCAAGAAAGGGCTACTTGGCAATGGGCCAGCGGTGGGAGGGACGCCCAACTTCGGTCTGTTTTCTCAGATTCCCTTTCAGTCTCCACCCCCGCCTGTGCACCTGTTGTGTTCCCGTCATCCCGGGCGGCTGGCAGCTGTCAGCGCGGGGCACCTGTCCCAACCCCAGAGGACGCCCTCTGGGCTCCTTGGCTCAGGTTTCTCTGCAGCACTCAGCTCTGTCTCCCTCTTGGTCCTGGTGGCTTTCTGTCCTTCTGTCCTCACCTCCATCTGCTGCACTGTCTTCAAACTCCACGCTGCAGTGCCACTCCTGTGCTGGCTCCGGGCATGGGAGGAGGCCGTGTTCCCTGCTCCTCTCTCTCAGGCCCCGCTTACTGTGGTAAGGAGGATGGCCTGGCAGGTCGTCCTTAAGCCCCAAATGCCAGGTGACTCATCAGCTCTATCAAATTGTCTCTTGTTCTTGATGGAAAAAACCCCATGGCAGCCAGGAGCTGCCTCCCAGCTCCTCCCACCAGGGCCACGCCCCTCCCTGACTTACCCCCAGGGCCAACAGTCACTTCCGCCTCCTCCATGCCCTGTGCAGCTTTGTCTTCTCCCCTGCTGATGCCCTGACCTGGATGTCCCACTAAACCTAGGGCCAGCAGACATTCATCTTGCGCTCGAGGCCTCTTTGTCCTTCACCCACTATGGAGTCTCAAGGCTGTCTCTAACGTACTAGGTCTTCATGGCTACATCTACAAAATGGGCACAGGACTTGCCTGCCTGATGGCAGGGCTGGACCCAGTGTTCTGAGGAGGCTCTTCCATCTGAGAGGCCTGCGGGCTGTAATTTGGATGGTTCCCGTTGTTCAGTGAGTTTGTCCCATGTTCTCCCCTGCAGTTGCTAGAAGGCAGATATAGGCAGGGCCTTGGAGGACACAGATGAGAAAGGACTCAGTGAGCAGAGAGCCGGGTAGGGTAACCCACCATGAAAACCCAGCTGGCGCCCCGGAGGGAAGAGGAGCTGGCAGACAGGCACTGGGAAAGAGGGGGATGGCGGGAGAGCAGGGATGGCCATGGTGGCAGGGAGGGTCTTGGGAGAGCCCAGGCGGCTGCACTTCCCTGAATGGGGCCAGAGGCTGCTAGGGCAGCGAAGGAAGGGCAGTTTACTGAAGACCAGCTGGGAATTCTGCCAGAGCTGGGAGCCCCCGGGGCATGCCCAGCCCTGCTTCCTGCCTGTGGGATTCCATGTCCAAAGTCCCTGCTCGGGTACCGGATGGATCTGCCTGCCCCAAGACGTCTCCGAGACGCTGGCATCACTATGTCTGTCTGGACCACGTGCTAGCAAACAAAAGTCCACGTGGCTCTGCTGCCACATGACCCCTTCTGATTCTTTAAGAAGGTCCAATGTCCCCTTGTCTTCGCTTTCCCGAGCCGGAGGAGCCTCTTCCTTTTGACCTTTTCTGGTTAAAGCTTGAGTTTTCACATCCAGCCCATTTTCCCTTCACTGTAACCTCTTCTGAGCCTCAGTTATACAGGCTGTGGCCTGGGATGATTCTGTCTCTTGAAAGGATGTTGTGGGGCCAGCTGAAACCACCCATGGGAAACACCTGACATGGTGTGTGGCGCATAGTAAGTGTTTGGTAGATGGTAGCATCTGTGGCCGCCTCCGTAGATTTGCTTATAGCTCTGCACTTCCCTGTCACAGCCTTTCCAAAGTGTGGCTATAGATGGGCGCCCGGAGGCCGTGTAGCCCTACCATTCCTGGGTCCCCATGGCCCTGCCAGCACCCGGGATCGCCTGTTCCCTTGTTCATCTCCCCTGTTTTGCCAGAGGCTTCTGCACGGCCAATGGTGGGTTTTGCTCACCACGTGGTCTGCAGTCGGTGCTCAGTGAATGCCGGCTGAACGGATTAGAGAATGACCGGTGGAGGCCATGGCGCTCTCACCCCATTTTGTAACTGAATCCTTTGATCAGTGAGGTTTTCCATCATGCCTTAGTGGCGACAACAGAGAAGCAGAGAAGCTGTGGCTCCACCCTGGAGAAGGGGTGCCGCCCCCCCCCCACCCTGCAGAGGCCCTGGACATTGCCCTGGGGAAGTGGTGGGAAGAGGAAGCCTCAGACACAGGCCGCTGCCACTTCCTGTTGAAAATGGGGAAGCAGAGTGTGGGAAACAGGACGCAGGCCAGTCTGCTGGAAAACCCCTGGGGCATTGGCACCATGAAGTTCCCGATGGGCGCCCGGCTGCTCCCAGTTCTCTGTTCTGTTCTTGCTCAGGTGGCTGTAGGGAGGGCTGCTGCCCACCGGAAGGACCCCTGGCTCAGGGACCCCCAACCTGCTCCATCCCTGCGGGGTCCCCACTCAGCTACTTTCCCACGGTGCTGTTTCTGGAGAATGACTTGCACCTAGTTCTGCGCGTGCAAGCTGTGTTCTGAGCGTCTGCTCCTGGGGCATGATGGGGAGCAAGGGCAAAGCAGGAGCAGGCCCAGCATTGCCAGATGCCATGTCTTTTATTTTTCCCCTAAGATTTATTTATTCATTTTGGGAGAGAGAGAGAGATATCTCCTATCTGCTGGTTCACTCCCCAGATGGTTGTAGTGGCCAATGCTGGGCCAGGCTGAATCCAGGAGCCAGAATCTTCATCCTGGTCTCTCACATGGGTGGCAGGCATCCAAACACCTAGGCCATCTTCTGCTGCTTTTCTCAGGCCATTAGCAGGGAGCTGGATTGGAAGTGGAGCAGCTGGGACTTGAACCAGAGCCCATATGGGATGCTTGTGCTACAGGCGGTAGCTTTACCCACTACGCCATGGCATCGGCCCCCTGGATGCCACTTTCTCCCTCACACCTCTTGCCTCGCTCATGCCTGCTGCACATCATGGGGGAAGAGGGGCCTCTCTGAGATGCTGGGCTGGCATTGTCTCCCTGCTGAAGCCTGTCCGGCGTGCCCTGTTGCTGTCAGGAAGTGGCTGGGTTCTTTCCCACCATCCCTGAGAGCCCCCCTCGAGGCCCACCTTACTTTGCCACAGAACACTTCTCTAGCCTGCACCCACTGCCCCTGCTGCAGCCGTACCTGGCATGGGCCTCTGTGTTCCATACTGGGTTCCCTCCCACAGGGCCTCTGCCCATGTTG